AACTCGAGCTCAGCATTTCTCTTTCTTGAAGACCAAACTCGTGCGACTATGGTCTCACACAATAACAACCACCATGTCGCGGGCTTTATCGCTCTCTAGTCTCAAGTGTTGAGAGCGACCACCGCAAGTAGTGTCATGGCTGCCACGGCCCTACTAGTCTGGCGGTCGGCCACTTTGCTGACTCTCTCTCTTTCTCTCTCTCACTCGGAGTTTAGATTTGAGCACTGTGACCCTGCTCGTGGTGGTTGCTGTCCTCATGTCAGGCGACCACTGGAAGTAGGTCGGGTGCTAAAACGACCCACTTGCTAAGCAACCACTTCGAGTAGCGGTCGCAGTCTCATGTTCATGTCCTCTCTCTCTCTTCTCAATTATTAAATTTTTCAGAATTTTGATGTGGCACCACATTAGCCACATCAATGCCTCATATGCTCAACTTGTCCAAGCAAGCATTCCGGTATTTAACTCCCGGCGAAGAACTTCGATGGAATGATTAAGAATTTCATACAAAAGTATAGAGATCATTAGTGATATGACTCCAAAGTACAAATTTACGTAGATTAGCTTGCATACGAATTTCACCATACGTAATTGCTTTTGAAGATGGGTTAGATTCTAAATCCCATTATCACACGTCGTTCAAATCTCATCGACTAGGGTCCGGGCGAGGCAATTCAGCCATCTCAAGTGATTTGACTTGTTCCATAGACTCGTGGGATTCGCAAGTTTTCCTCAGCTCCCTCCCGCGCTCCTAAAAAATTATATCCACAACTTAAATCATTTCGTGACTTACATGATCCATGGAACTTGTGGGTCGACCTATGCCGTATCCTTCCCTCCCTGTTTTGCATTCTTTTGGCCAACGTCACGACACCCGAGCCTTTTCGAGTTCTCGGCTAATTCTTATCGAGTGTTGTGTGGCATCCCTTCCATGAGTTAGTGATCTAAGGCCTTACATAAAAAGATGGAAAGCTCATCACTCGAACCACCTTACTAGATTGCCTCCTCTTCCCAACGTGCATTGTTATCGTGGCCTGATCTGCGCTCGCGGACCGTGCGTTAGCTTCGCTTTTCTTCCGGGCACTAACTTGCTTCAAGGCGCCAATTTGGCGTCGTGCTTACCTGGGAATTACAGCGCAAATTAGCTGTGGATTGAGCGAGTGAACGTAGCGCATGGGATTCCAATGATTTGGCCACTAAAGTTACTTCCAAAGTCAGTAAAGGGGGTGGATGATTCAATACATGTCGAGGATGGAAGATCTACGTTTCAAGCTCGTATCTGAGTCAAAGCTTGACATTATGCTTGATAGAGGTGATTAGAATAGGGAAAGTAAAAAAGATCCAAATAAATTATTAGAGAAAAGAAATGGAGTGGTTAGATTGACTATACTTTTCTTTTGTAATTTTATTTTTTCTTGTTGCTCTTGTAGTTTAACCTTTGTTTAGGGTGGTTCATCTAGAACCTTTTTCAAATGTACAATTTTAAAAATTACTATGTTCTTTTTCCATCTTAAATTTTGAAAACGAAAAGGGAATGTTTCCTTTTTAACGCAAAAGAAACGAAGCTCTCAATTTTCCTTTGAAAATTAGAAGAAAAAAATTCGGATTTTGCGCATCGAGGCCTACTCCCATATGTGGGATATAAGCTCTCTTTTGATTTGTTCCAAGTGATTGTTTTCTTCAAGTTGATTGTGTATTGAAGAAAATTCTTTGATTATGTACTTAGGAGGGTCTAACATATGAATAGGATCTTATTTGTGACCTTTATCTTAATCTAAGTGTTCGAGATTGAAATTTTCACTCGTAATTGACTGACTTATTGTGAATAACTTTATCATAAATTATCTCAAATATCTAAACATTCTAGGTTTATCAAGACTGAGTGATAAAATCAGTTCACAAGATTAAATTCCCGATTTTGGTATTACACACCAATTTAAGGCTCCGTTCGTTTGGCGGAAAATATTCTCCTTTTGGAAAATATTTTCCCGGAAGTCATTTTCCTGAAAAATGTTTTCCCGGAACATAATTTTCCGGTGTTCGGCACCAATATGAAAAAAAAAAGTTTGGAAAATATTTTTTGTCTGACGGCGACCGGCGGCGATGGCGGCAGGCCGGCGACCGGAATGGTAGGCGGGCATGCGAAAGGCGCGGCGGCAGCGGCGCGCTGGCCGGGCGCAGCCGGCTACGGCGACCGGTGGTGGGGCGGCTGGGCAGGGCAGAGGCGGCGGCAGCGGCGCGAGCAGGCGCGGCGACCGCCGCCGGCCAGCCCAGCCCGCACGCCCGCCAGGCGCAAGGGGCGGGAAGAGCAGCACCCGGGGGGGGCGCCCGAGGCCACACCGCCCCCCCACCACCCCACCGCAGGCGGCCGCCCCGCGGGGGCCGGTGGCCCGCGCGGGAAGTGCCCGGGGAGCAGCAGGCCAGGTCTGCCCCTGGCCCCACGGGGGGGCCACGTCAAGCAGGCGGCCACCGCGCGGCGGCTGTCCAGCCGGCCGGCCGGGGCCCCAGCCGCCCAGCACACGCGCCAAGCGGTTCAGGCGACAAGTTGTCAGCTGAAGCTGCGGCGGGCTGGGCCAAGACGGGCCGGCGCCACGCGCGCGGCGGCGGCCCATGCCACCCTTCGACGGCCAACCGGTCAGGTGGCCGACTGACCAGCGATCAACTTCCTCTCCCACGGAAAACATTTTCCCTCCCATGGGCAATTTTGCCTTCACTTTGGGGGAAAATGATTTCCTCTTTGTGAAAAGAGGAAATCATTTTCCTCAAAATAATGAAGGATTTGAGGGTGGGGAAGGAAAATGTTTTCCCACGGAAAACATTTTCCGCCCCGAACACCGGAAAACGCGAAAAATGTTTTCCGGAAAAATATTTTTCCATAAACGAACACGACCCTAAATTCATATACATTACTATTATGCGTCATTTACGAAATTGTCATTTTCCTTCTGTAAGCACTTCTATCGGGCCGTTTTAAATTCCTTACCTATTCCAAATCCTTGAATAAAAAAGAAACAAAAAGCATAACATAGATTGATTTGTTAACCAAATTTTAGCTAGGTTTAGTACACTTCGATTCAATTACTCATCCTTAAAGCATATAAGAATTCACATTGAAATCCCTTCGAACCCGTTAAGATTGTGTTTCGTCACTTAAGAGTGTTAGGATGTGGTTCATACTCTCCAAAGATAGAATGACATGGAGTCCCGCTCCCTAGTGAGCAGGCAGGGGTCCGAGGGCTACCCCAGCGGGCCCTCTGAAAGCTAGATGGTTTTATATATTTTGAATTCGTCATTTTATTAGTAGTTTTGGTTTAAGCTCATAAATAGCTACTATATATATTCTCTTGTAATTGAGAGATGTAATAAAGAGGTGTGATGTGCCAGTTAGAGTGGAATCCTTAACTGGATGTAACCCTAGTTTGAGGGTGAACCAAGATAAAACATTACTTTTTAGATTCTCTTTCTCGCTTTTACTCTCTATATTCTTTGTGATTGTGCGGTGAATCCTATCAAAGTGTACCAATCTTGCAACGACTGTCCATATATCTGATAGTTTCCCAAGGGCCTTGGTAGCAAGTAACTCTATAATGCTAGTTAAGATAATCTATGATAAAAAAAAATGGTCTTATAAACAAGTGTATCGAGAGTATTAATTAAGACCGCTAAAAATAGTAAAAAAGACTAACGCTATTATATGAAAAGGAACATATTTTAAGAAAGCAAGATGCTTTTTAAATAGAGATGTTTATACCTACAAAGATGCTTTTAGTCGACCCTTTATTAAGATTCTCCTAAAAAAAACATAATTGCTGAGGATAGAAAAGTCGAAAAGCACACACCGCTGGTAATATACTTGATGTTGATAGGAAAATTTTACACTCTTAAAGCACAAAAATGAGGCCTAGTCAACATTATTCAACATTATTCAAAGGCTGATGCAAAGATATTCTTTCACGTTTCAAAAGTCGCTCACGACGGCGGAATTTTTGTGGGAACGTGAAGGATTTCTTGCGGACGAGTACTTATGTGGCTCGTGTTAACTTAAGCCTGTCTATTAAGTTGACCGTTTTAAATTTAACGTATTGATCAAACATAATATGAGAAAAAAATTGTAAATTTTTTATTTGATTATTTCGCTTAGGGGTGAGCGGTTCCAAAGTCGATCCAGGTTCCTATTTGTTGGAACCGGTTTCAACCTGGAACCTATTATGCATACTCTAAAACCTGGAATCTACCCTATCACAGGTTTTAGATCTAGCTAGGTTCCACTTGTATTCTTATTTGAGCGACTGTAGTGAATTATCACCTCTATTGACCAAAATTTGCTGCTACAATTTATTGATCACAACTCATATTTAGACGTATGAAAAATATAAAATATTAACAAAGTAAAAGTTTTAGTCATGGATATCGCAAAAAAGAGGAAGAGCAAATTAGTGATTCCAAATTACACGCTAGTCATTGGACGCTATGAGATACCGGAATATTGCGCGAAGACAAAGAACAAGACAAACACAAAAATTTGTTATAGACTCCAGGTTTCAAGTTCACCTGAAACCTAAACCCTATTCTTCGGGATCGGTTTTTCAATTTTCGAAACTTGAAACTCACTTAGCATGCCTTGAAAGCTGGAACCGAACCGGTTCTCACGGGTCATAGGTTCCCGATTCTACCTTAGAACCGAAGCAGTTCCCATTGGTCGCTAATTTTCAATTCTACCTCGGAATCATGCTCGCGCCGCTCATTTCACAAGTAGTCTCACACAGGTCAACAGGAAGTGGAGACAGTAAAAAAATAAAAAAAGGAACTTTCCCCGCACGCTCTTCCCCTGTTCATCAAACCGACAAAAAGGGCGACAATGGGAAAGCAACGCGAGCGCGAGTGCCAACCTTCGCGCCCTCCTCCTCATCTCGTGGCGCCACTTCCTCCAACCGGGTCCCGCGCCCGACCCGCCCCTCGCCGCCACCTCGGCCACCCAGATCGCCGCCGCCGACGACGACCCCCACCACCCCTCCGAGGCGCGCACGTTACCGCCCTGCGCACCCCTCGCGCACGTTACCGCTCCCCTGCCCTTTGGAAGGCACCCAGCACCACCCCTCCACGTCCCCTCGCGGTAGGGTGGGGTGGGAGGGAGCTTTATCTTTCAACGCGGGGCAACAGCGCAACCAAGCGTGGTTGGGCGCGCGGTCTTTACCTTTAGCACCCCTCCCGAGCCCGAGAAGAGAGGAGATTTTCCTGGGTCCATGTCTGTTTCCCGCATGGGGTCGGAAGATGGCGCCAAGAGGGGCTGCTTTCCCGACGATGATGACCAGCGGACGCGCCTCCTCGGCCCCGACAAGATTCCCCCCTCGCCTTCGATGCAACATTGCGGCGACAAGCCCGCCGACAAGCTGCTCACGTTGCCGACGGTCCTGACGCTCGGCCGTGTCGCCGCCGTGCCCCTGTTCATCAGCAGTACGTCCGCGATTCCCTGAGATTTCTGTGTTTAAGAGCGCAAAGTCGCCCTTTTGATCTGTCATTTTGGAGCTTTTGTTCATTTGCTTTTGTGGGTGTCTGTCCTTTTCGGCGTCTGGGGATGTGTTTGATGAGACTCTCTGTAAAGTTTTGTCGGATCTTGTATGCGTTGGAAGGCTTCTTGGTTTAAGGTTTGATCCGTTCTTGTTTTACCGCTCCCTCCCTCTCTCTCTCTCTCTTTCTCTCTCCGGGCTTTTGTAGAATGTTGGCGATCAATCTGGGTTGATGTCGCTTTCTGTTCACCAATTGCAAAAACATCAGTCTTGCTTCAGGAATGAAATTGATCCCAACCGCGTGTTCTGTGTATCTTACGAGTCTGACCTTAAAATTTATTATAGAGGCCAAAATGTGCTTTATTTTGGTATGCACAGAGCAGTTTTTGGCATTTCAATGGCGTTTTGAGATCTATCTTAAGGTTCTTTGCATCGAGTAGTGCATTTCAGTGGCATGCTATTGGAGATGATGGCATTTGAAATACTAGGTTCACTTTTACATATGTGCTTGCACGTGCCTATATTGCCATTTGTGTTTTTCTTTCTTTCTCTCCATCACTGTTGAGATGTTATGGCATCTATGCTTATAGAGCTATGCCAGGCGATCACAATCGAGTCCCTTTATGTCTTTTTCACTGTGGTTTTTATGGTGCTTGTTTGCTTTCTAACGCTATTGGTAGTGCAAAAAGTCATATCCACATTGTAAGCTTGACGGGAGACAAATTTGTCTAAAGTATTTTGTGCAAAATTTACCATGATTCTGCCTGAGACTGACTTAACATGCGATATGCCAGCATTCTATGTCGATAGTTGGTGGGGGACAACTGCTACGACGAGCATCTTTATTACTGCTGCAATCACAGACTGGCTTGATGGGTATCTTGCTAGGAAGGTATACAGTTTTCCGTCTGCTTTAAATTTGAAGGAGACTTCTTGTTTATTTTATAACAAAAGCACTGAAACTGTTCAATGGCTTCCAGATGAGATTAGGCTCTGTATTTGGTGCATTTTTAGATCCTGTAGCTGACAAGGTATGTGCTATCCGCCTTCTCAAAAGTGCTACGAATATACAACAACTAGCTTATACACTGATGTCTTTAACTTGGACTTAGAAAAGGCTAACTAATTGCAATACTTAATGCAGCTTATGGTAGCTGCCACATTAGTCTTGCTATGTACCAGGCCTTTGGAGGTTGACGTGTTCGAGCAAGTACCATGGCTAATGACTGTCCCTTCAATAGCTATAATTGGTAGAGAGGTAAATTTCATCACCCATTTCTGAAGCATCCTTATTCATCAATGTCTTTCTCTAAGTATGATAAGTTTGAGACGATGTGGTGCAAATTTATCTCTCTTGATATTGTAGATTGTCCTGGATATGGGACATCCTGTTGACATTTGCCAAATTGATAAACCATATAGGTTTTTCTCAATTATTTGAATGTCCCAAAGTTGCACATGGGAGTTTTGGTTTCAATTTGGCCAATATAAAAGGGGCAATTAGAAATGAAGAACAGTAAGTAAAGTTTTACTTTGTCTAATTGTTGTGTATTATAGGAACGCCACCCCTTCCCTTTCAATGATGTCAGAACTTCTATGCTCGAGTGATCTGTTCTCTTTTCCTCTGTTGATTTGTTGACCAAGTGTTTTATTAGGAAAACTTCTCAAACTATAGAACACAGGCCCAATTACCCGAAAGACCATGCAGTTGAAAGATTTCCTTTTTCTCCAATCTATCCTGTTCTATAAAGACTTCCAATCATACCCAAGTTTCGCTGTTACATCAAATTCTATGCTTGTCCTATTATTGGGTTAGCGTGACTGCTAATTGTTGATGTGGTAGCTGCTATATGAATGGTCACGACTAACTGCTAAATGCAGACAGCTTCATAAGATTCCAGTAAAGACAAACAATACACTAAAATATACGGCTCACTTTACTAAATGGCTCAGATGAAGGCAATTTCTGTCAGCCTAGTGTGGGTGAACAGATGCGAATAGATTTTGGTTGGTCGGTGGCCAAATCACTAATTGCGCTCGTAGCCTTTGTGCCTCTCGTTTTCTTGCTATTTAGGTACTTCCTCTTTCCATGTATGCTTAATAGTGCTGCATTTTCATCTTTCCGGAGAAGTCAATTCCACATCATCGCTAGGAAAGTACCATGTCAACCATCACATTAGACAATGACTCTGCTAATTGTATATGAAGTTTAACCTTGAATTGAGGCTTTTAAAATGCTGAGTACAATTGATAAAACCCTGAAGTACAAGATTATCAGTCAACTAGGCTTTACAGAAAAAGAGATTGCATATTATTGTTATCGTTCTTACTTTGAGACGCCTCTTCAGTTACCTGCCAAAGCTTCAAAATGATAAATAGGAAGAAAGGAAACTGCAAACTTCTAGAGTGAGTGTTTTGTAGGACTACATCTCAAATCCAGACCTTACAGGACTAGCTCCTTACCGCTCAGTTACCTTGAACTGTAGAAGGGAAAGTGACATCATTTCATGGAATTTTCAGCACCTGGTTGATTTGGAATTTTCCATATAATCCTTTGCTTTGTTTTCCAGAAGCATCACTTGTACCGCTTCCAAGACATGATGATGCTTCACATGTTTACATAGCGGTTTTTGTGCTGTAGGGCAGCTTGCATATCATTCTGTGGAGTTTGGTTTTGTATTTATTCTTAGAAGGATCATGAAACATGCCTGAGCATTCAGTAGATGATTGATTAGGATGTCATTTTATGAAGTAATTCACTGATTAATGATAGATAGTCCTTATTTTCTTCATCTTGACAAGTTTTGGGATATGAATAATTTGATTTATCTTGGCCATCTGGCACAGTCACTGTTGAGATGAGAAACCAAGTTCTTTAGATATGAGTCTATGCATTTTTCTGAGGGTATTTTTTGTCCCCATGTTCATGTGATTTAGTAGGAGCTCACGCGACCGATTCTTTTCCTTTGTTTCGCTATCTAGTGTGATTGTTCATACTACATTCCAGCTCAAAATTCCTTTGATTCGTTGTGACTCATTACTTGCTCAACTGGTTACAGATAACTATGTCTGCAGTTAGAGAATGGGCTGCCTCTCAGAATAGTAAGCTTTTAGAGGTGAGACACTATCTTCGGTAGTCCTTTACCCGCCTTTGAATTGGTTAACAAGTTGTCTGAACTGCTAGTCTTTTTTCCTTGGCCCCACTCATTAGGATGTAATTTTTTCAGGCTGTCGCTGTAAATAATTTAGGGAAGTGGAAAACCGCTATGCAGATGACTGCACTAACCATTTTATTGGCTACTAGAGACAGCAGGTTCGTAACAAATTTGCTTTCCTGCAAGAAGGTCGTACAGTTTTTTTTTCTCTGAATCAGGAGGAATGCAAAAGATGATATCTTAATCATCGCTTGGAGATCTAATGCTGAGAGTAATTCATGTTTTCCTATGCAGTCTTGGAGGATCTGATACTTTAGTAGCTTCCGGAGTTGTTTTGCTTTATATCTCGGCAGGGCTCGCGATATGGTCCTTGATTGTGTATATGGGGAAGATATGGAAAGTATTGGGCAGATAAGCCTATTTGCCCATTATAGTCGTGGTTTTCGGGCATGATAATTTCTACGTGCAACTCGTTCAGGGCGACATTGAACCAGCATGACATGCTTATCTTGGATATAGAGCCAATCTTGAGCACCTTGCTCAAGGCAACAGATACTTGTGGATAGTCCCTTGCTTCTGGAGTTATTGAAGCTGAAGTTTTCAGCATCTAGCGGTTTATTATTATTTTTTGTACGGAGATGATATTTACTTAGTGATATACAACTTCTGAGACACAATTGGGATGAAGAATGACATGCAGGTGTCAAGCATCAGGCATCCCGTCTGTAATAGATGAACTTGCAATTTGAGAGTACTTTTATTTGATTTGTTATGTGTGGATCCAATGTAGCTCCCAACAAGATTATTCATTTATCCAGAAATTATTTTTGTTGGAATTCTTTTTCTTGTTTTTGGGTTTTTTCATATGTGTATATTTCAATAGAATCCAGAGTGAAGATCTAGAAGTAAATTTAGATTCTCACCAGAAAAAAATTCCAGCCATGTGAGTAATCATATGCATAGAATCCTCCTCAATCTGGTCACGGCAGAAACAAAGTCCTAACGATATTTGATCCATCTTAGAACTTTGGACAACAAACAAGAAGATGGGTCGAATGACGATCGATAATTAGGTTCAGTTTGACTTTAGAAGTCGCAAAGGAGTAAAATTTTGAAGACCCTGATGAGCCCTTACATTATTGCATTAGCTTTTACTGCATTTTTGCGCTAGTTTACTTTAAATCAACGCAGAAACAAGAGAAACTGCGAGAATGCTGCTCTTACTCTTGATAGACATAGTTTCTCTGCAAAACCAGACATCCATGTTCCCTCTTAACTCTAGGGAGGTGATAATAGACCACTTGGGCCTCAAGATCAGCGAGACAGATCAGAGCTGGGCCTGTACAACAAGGATGAAGAAAAGGATTAGCTTGCATGCCTATATGCACAGCGACAAGCCGAATATCGTACACACAGGAAGTTTGTAGGGCATACCGAGAATCGTTTCTTGTAGCTTTCCACAAGCTCCTTGGGGTCACGGCGGGTCTGAGTGTAAGCCTCGTTTTTGTTCATCTCCTACGAGGATAAGTAAAACACACGAACTCAGTTCTCTTTAGGAACTCAAATTGTTCTTACATCTGATGACGTTCATATAAGAATACTTTCTCCTTTGCTAAAAAGTAAATACGATCATTCTTTCCATATAAGGAATTCCTACATCTGATGAATGACCATCCTAACTCATTGTTTTACTTTGTACAGGACAACTCAGTTTCCTGATGGAATCAAAGATTTCTAAAGCTAAAGTCGCAAATTTTCCTACTCTAAAATAATCAATCTGTGCGGTGAAAGTCGTAAAAAGAAAGAAAATGGATTGTGCCAATACAATTCCGCATCATGATCCACAAGCGAAATTGAATGCATGTGAAGTGCACGTGAAAGAAATGAGAGAATCAAAGGCCAGATCAAACATATTTTCGCTGAATGATGTGCAGGATCATTGTAAGTCACAGAGAGACGTTCTGTTTAGTACCTCTATCCAGGTTGCCAGTTTTGGCCTGCCTACTGTAATGTCAGTGCCTTTCACTTCTTGTAGATATGGCTTGAATCTTTCGATGAATGGAGCATAAGCAATATCAACCTGTGGAGGTTCACACAACACCATAGAGAGGCAAACTCAAATGATTCTCCAATTCCGAGCAATAATTTCTAAGTTCCTTTCTCCAATATGACATGCATTTTAGAAAAAGGAAAAGGCTAATGTCTAGCAGATATGAGTCAAGTTAAAGAAAACAAATGTCTGCTTACCAGGCTGAACTGCCCAAGGAAGAAAGGTCCGTCCTCAAATTTGGAAAAGGCCTGCTCGATGAAATCCAATGCAGCGGCTGTGGCGATCGCGAATCACCATTACTATCATTCACTATTTCAGATTGAAAGAGAAATGACAAATGGAATTCAGACATACCAGCTTGGTCGTCCCCTTCTCCTTTGAACGAGGAGACAACGGATTTGCTGAACGTGTCGGTGTACGAGAAGAGCTCTTCTGCAAACTCTTTCTTTGCAGGATCCTGTATACCAGAGGTTAAGAATTCATCACAGTGAATACTTGGACATAGCAGAAAAGTGTTAATGCTCCTCTGAAACTTACCTCAGGCAAAAGTGAAGGTCCTCCAAAGTTAGCATCTAAATACTTAATTAGATCCAGACTCTCTCCTCTTACTTCATTGTTGTGTTCCAAGGCTGGCACCTGAGTCAACACACCACAACAAAAAAAGTTTCATGATCCTTTAGCCTTGTAATTTCGAGTGGAAAGTAATTCCAGCTTAGCGCTTCTATCAGACCAAGGTATTGTATGAAGTACAACGAATGTCCACAACATAATCCGCAACATGATCATCAACAACACCATAAGTTGCACATATTTCTTCTTTATGCAATCTTGGCCATTTGAAAAACGTTACTAGCTTGTTCAAGAAAAAATTTCTGATCCTAAATGCTTCATAAGTACTCTTCAGAATGTCTTATATGCACTTTACATTCACAAAACATTTCACAAGTTTCCTTGGAATTTCACCTTGTTAGCTGGGTAGACTTTCTCTTTGTACCAAGCAGGCCTGTTTTGCAGATCAATAGGGACCAACTTGATCTCATCCTGCAATCCCTGCTTGAACCAACAAGGCAAGTCAATTAACAGTCAATTCTTCATCAATTTAGAATAGAAACATGATGACTATACACATCTTTCTATTTGTTAGTTCGAATTCAATACAAATTTACATTTTTTGGAAAAATCTTTCTTATTTTTTCAAACCATTATAAAAATGCGTGAAGAGAGAGAGAGAGAGAAAGAGAGAGAGACAGAGAGAGAGAGAGAGAGATTATGAACAACCTTGCAGTTCCGGGTAATCCACACACGCTGCGCGAACGGGCATGTGTAAGAGATGTATAATCTGTAGTAAGATAGGCAGAGAAGTGCTTTTAGAATTATAAAAGGGAAAAATCACTGTTTTCTATAATGCTGTCATTACATTACAATCACTGAAACGAAAAGAGCAAACCTTGTCGTTCCATCAAAGATTGGAGGTGGGTCTGAAGTAGAGGTAAGAGCCGGTGGAAGAACCTCTTTCACTCTTGCCCACAGAGAAATGAGAAAAATAGTCAGTAACCAGAGCTAAAGCAAAATTAAACTAAGGCACAAACCACTGCATACGCAAGAATGACAAAATACTTTGTTATTAAAACAGGGGGGAGGTGGGGTGTGTTTCATTTGCTTGGCAAGATAAGGGAAAAAGTTAGTTGGCTCAGCTAACTCTTAAACATACCAAAGAGTCCAAAGTTTCAAACTTTTCCAGTTCTTGACAGAGAAAATACTCTTCATTCAGCTGAAATAAGTCTTGTAGAAAATACCCAAGCATCCCAAACTTGCAAATTTACACAATCTTGAGAGTTGACAGCACTCTTCTTAAAGCAAAAAGTAGAAGAGGAACAACCCATAGACGGAATGTAAAAGAATAAACGATCCATAGTGCCAAACTAAGCAGAGTGAAATTTCTCTCAATTTCTCAGCAACCAAACAAAGAACAACAAGCAACCAAACGGAGAACAACAAGCAAACAAACAAACACTTACCCAGTTGCCATTGTTGCAGATAGACTGGCTCTGGGTCTGGTTTGAGCAAGAGCAACGCGGGCTAGGACGGGCACGTGAGGTTGGGGACGAAGCAAGCAAACGATGGCCGAGTCGGGGGGTCTTATCAGTCTGCTGGTACGACGGCAAAAGGAGAGAGGGGCCGACGAGGGAGAAATATCTGGCGACGACGTCAGCAGTGACGAAGAAGAACAACAAGTGTGACAGACCAAAGTTTTCAAAGTGGCCATCGTCGTTCCTTTCGGTTGAAAGTCTTGTCAAATTCGTTCCTGTGCTCTGCACATCTTGCAGCCACCAAACATTCTTGACAACAAAAGCTCTCGAAGGGGGCATGATTGACGCAGCGTTAAGCGAATAATTCAAGCAAAATCTTATTTAGAGAGAAAAATTTCGAAATTCAATATTGATGACAATGTTCTGTTCTTAAAAAAGAATCCTAAAATAGGCTTATATATCCCTAAACCAAACCCTACTAGGATTATAAAACATAAAAGATCAAAATTACAAAACTGCCCTTAAAATTAAAATCTATAAAAAATTATTAAAAAAATAGAAAAATTCATGTAAACAATCCCGAATCGCTAAACTCCATCGTTAGTCACAGCAAAAGGCTGTGAGTTTTGTTCAGAATGCCGTTTCGCTTTAAACGACCGAATTTGAGCCCGATCCGATGTCGTCAACCGGGTCCACCGATTCTAGTCGCATCACCGTTTCGCCCTCCGTTTGGACTTCTGCATGTCAAATCGGTCCAGAAACGCTTCACTAATAGATTCTGCATCATTCTCCTCCACTTGAAAAGAACTCGTCCTCGAGTTAAAATCTGGATCTGGATATAACGGCTCTGTGGACTCATGAAACGGTGATAAATCAGCAACATTGAAAGTGTTAGATATGCCCATACTATGTGGAAGGTCTACAACATAAGCATTATCGTTGATCTTCTTGTTGACAGTGTAAGGTCCATACTTCTTTTGCTGCAATTTGCTATAAGATCCAACTGGTAAGCGCTCTTTACGAAGAAAAACCATGACCTAATCACCTACCGCAAACACCTGCTTCCGCCTGTGCTTATCTGCTGCAGCTTTATACTTCTGATTAGCTTCCTCCAGCTTCTGTTTGACTTCATGATGCACTTCCACAATCTGTTTAGCCATATGATCCGCTTCTACACTTTTATCCGCTTGTTTAGGCAACTGTACCAAATCCAAAGTATGCTGAGGTGCCTTTGTATAAACAACAGAAAAAGGCGACCTGCCAATAGAACTATGAACTGCATTATTATAAGCAAACTCTACCTGTGATAAAGCAACATCCCATTGCTTTGGCTTATCTCCACAAATGCTTCGAATCAAGTTTCCCAGAGTTCTATTAACAACCTTTGTTTGCCCATCAGTCTGCGGGTGAGCAGTGCTATTGAAATTAAAAGATGAATCAAACAGTTTCCACAAAGTCCGCCAAAAATGCCCTAGAAATTTACTATCCCTATATGAGGTAATAGATTTGGGCACACCATGCAAACGAACTACTTCCTTAAAGAATAATCTGGCCACACTTACTGCATTAGAAGTCTTCCTATAAGGAATGAAGTGCGCCATCTTGGAAAATCTGTCAACCACAACGAAAATAGAATCCACGCCTCTTTGTGTTCGTGGCAAACCAAGCACAAAATCCATGGACAAATTTTCCCATATATTGTTAGGAACAGGTAATGGCATATACAGACCTATATTCTTAGATTTTCCCTTAGCAGTCCGGCAAACATAATACTTTTGTACGTACTTGCTGACATCTTTATGTAACTGGGGCCAGTAAAATCGCTCTCGGACTGCAGCAATAGTTTTATCACGACCCAGGTGTGCAGCTAATCCACCATCATGTAAATCATGAATTACCTTTTCTCGTAATGATATTCGAGGAAGGCAAAGCTGATTACTACACATCAAATAGCCATCATGCACATAAAATTCTTGCACAGGTTGACCAGTAGCACATAACTTCCAAATTTGCCCAAAGTCATCATCATCTGCATAACAGTCTTTCAGCTGCTTGAACCCCAAGATGTCTTGGCTTAATGTAATCAACAATCCAACTCTTCCACTCAATGCATCTGCTACGACATTATGCATACCTGATTTGTGCTGTAATCTGAAAGGAAATTTTTGCGAAAATTGACACCATCGCGCATGCATATCTTTGCTAATCCTCTTCTAACTATTTAGATACTTCAAAGCTTCATGATCAGAATAAAGGACGAATTCTTTCCCAATCAGATAATGCTCCCAGGTCTTCAAAGCCCTTACGACAGAATATAATTCTTTATCATAAGTGCTCCATTCTGCCTTGCGTCACTGAGCTTCTCACTAAAATAGCAAACTGGTCTGCGCTCTTGAGATAAAACAGCTCCTATAGCCACTCCACTAGCATCACAGTCCACTTCAAATAGTTTATCAAAATCAGGTAAAGCAAGAATAGGTGCAGTACATAACTTCTCCTTCAAAATAGCAAAACTATTCTCAGCTTCCTCTCCCCATAGAAATTTGCCTTTCTTCGTACATTCAGTAATTGATGCTGCGATAGTACTAAAATTCTTAATAAATCGTCGATAAAAAGTAGCCAACCCATGAAAACTCCTAACGTCAGAAACTGTTTTAGGAGTTGGCCACTCTTTGATTGCTCTTACCTTCGCCTCATCTACCTCTATTCCTTCAGCAGTAATAATAAACCACAAGAATAACAGCTTATTAGTTAAAAAGCTGCACTTCTTAAGATTAATATACAGCTTATTAATCTGCAAAGCTGTCAACACCTCCCTTAAGTGCATTAGATGATCCTCCTCCTCGGTCTTACTATAAATCAGGATATCATCAAAATAAACTACAACGAATTTGTCAATAAAAGATTTCAAAACCTGATTCATAAGCCTTATGAAAGTACTTGGAGCATTGGAAAGTCCGAAAGGCATTACCAACCATTCGTACAACCCCTTCTTGGTTTTGAAAGCTGTCTTCCACTCATCTCCGGGCCGAATCCGAATATGATGGTATCCATTCTTCAAATCCAGCTTCGAAAACCACTTAGCATCGTGCAACCTATTCAGCATGTCATCCAATCTCGGAATTGGAAACTTGTAACCCACGGTTATTTTATTAATAGCCCTGCTATCTACATACATCCGTCAACTCCCATCTTTCTTAGGAGTCAACAAGGCCGGAACAGCACATGGGCTCATGCTACTTTGAATGTGCTCCTTTCGCAATAACTCCTCCACCTTCTCTTTTAGAATCTCGCTCTCTTTAGGACTCATCCTGTAGAGCGGTAAATTAGGCAGACTAGCATCAGGAATTAAGTCTATATGGTGCTGAATATTGCGCATAGGCGGCAACCCATCTGGAATCTCTTCAGGAATCAGTTCGCTAAATTCCTTCATTAAAGGCCTGACTGCTTCACGCTGTTCCTCCACTTGTAATTCAATCTCAGTCTCACTTGCTTGTTTCACGACCAGCACGTGAATCTGTCGGGTCTCCTTAACCTCAGCTTCAAATTTTCTCGTAAGGGTAAGGAAATTATTTTCAGCAGCTTGTTTTCCTTTGTTCTTCAGTGGCAGTAACGTATACTTCACTCCATCCTTCACAAGGTTATACTGATTGCTTCTTTCCGAATGCTGAGCATCGACATCAAATTGCCACGGCCTCCCAAGTAACACATGACATTCATCCATGTCTACTACATCACAATACAGCTCATCATAATACTTACCGATGGAGAATGGAATTTTGCATCGTTCAGTCACCTGAATGCTTTCCACTCCAGATTTAATCCATCCTAACGTATAGGGATTAGGATGCTTCTCCACGGGTATTCCTAGCTTCTTCACTGCCTCCTTCCTAATGATATTCTCCATGCTTCCACTATCAATAACCACAGCAAAGATCTTTTCCAGAATGATGCACCTGGTTCGGAATAACTGATGGCGCTGCGAATCATCTTCCTGTTTTGGGGCCAATATCATCCTGCGCACCACACAGTTTACTTGCTCCTCTTCTTCATCTTCAAAATCATCGTCCTCACCATCCGGCGCACAGCAATATCCATCTTCCTCCTCTTCTCTCGCTGCTACGTTTACGGTCTTTCTCTGAAGGCATTCATTAGATCGGTGCCCAGGCTGATTACACCTGTAACACTTTATCGCGGCTGGTTTATCATAAGGGTTAGGGTTCACAGTTTTTTGTGCTTGCGTTCCCTTATCCCTCGGCTTGTTCATATGGCGCTTTTCTACTGCCCTATCTTCCTAATTTCGCCCTGCGTTAAAGCGATGATTGAAACTGCCATTCTCTACCGAACTACTCGAACTGCTACCTCGATAATTTTCGTAGCCTCTTCTTCTCCTGTCTTGCTGCATCAATTCTGCCTTCATCGCCATATTCTTGGCTTCAGTTAAATTTCGCAGAAACTACACTCCAATTTTATCTCGAATGAAGTGTTTCAAACCATCAAGATATCTGGCCACCTGTTGTCCCTCTGTCTCTAATATATTATTCTGCTCCGCCAATCTCATAAATTCGGCTGTATACTCATGCACAGTTCGATTGCCCTGCTGGCAATGTTGGTACTGCTGGAACATAATCTGTTCATAGTCGGGTGGAAAGAATTCCTGCTTCAACAGCCTCCTCATCCTAGTCCAAGTTCGAACTCTCTCTTTCCCTTCTCGCTCCCTCTTATTCTGCAATCTCTCCCACCAGGCAGATGCACCCCCTTTAATCTACATGCTACTAATCTCACCCTTTTCTCACCAGGGGTCTCCATATAATCGAAAAATCTATCTATATCAACAATCAAATCCAGAAATTCTTCTATGCCCAGACTTCCATTAAAATAAGAAATATCGACTTTCAATTTAAAGTCGTTACCTTCATGATCGTCGTAACGTCATCTTCCATCTCTCCGATCATATCCTCTTTGAAATCCTCCATGACGATGTCTGTCGCCATAATTTCCACATCACAATAATCGTTTTTTCTTCTTCCGAACTCTTTGAAAACAGAGGGTTATTCAACCTGCGGATAGGAACATGCATATCAACAGGATCATTGCGAGCAAGATCTGCACCCGGCCTTCTGTCGTTCCGCCGATTCCGGTTCACATCAACGCCGAGACCTTTGAATCGTTCTGTTAACTTGTCAAATCGTTCTTCGAAACGACGAAGACTTTGATCGAATTGTTGATCCAAGCGATCCATTAAATGTTGCTCCAAACGTTGCAGCGCGTTGTTCCCAAGGGTTGGGGCTCCAGTCTCCTGAGCATCGTCACGAAGACCACCGCTAGTCACCATAGGCTCTGATACCACCTAACGCAGCGTTGAGCGAATAATTCAAGCAAAACCTTGCTTAGAGAGAAAAATCTCGAAATTCAATATTGATGACAATGTTCTGTTCTTCAAAAAGAACCCTAAAACAAGCTTATATATCCCTAAACCAAACCCTACTAGGATTATAAAACATAAAATATCAAAATTACAAAACTGCCCTTAAAATTAAAACCCATAAAAATTATTAAAAAATAGAAAAACCCATGTAAACAATCCCGCTAAAATCCATTGTTAATCACAGCCAAAGGCTGTGAGTTTTGTTCAGAACGCCGTTTCGCTTCAAACGACCGAATTTGAGCCCGATCCGATGTCGTCAACCGGGTCCGCCGGTTCTAGTCGCATCACCGTTTTGCCCTCCGTTTGGACTTCTGCCTGTCCAATCGGTCCAGAAACGCTTCACTAATAGATTCTGCATCAATGATTCTGTTCTCTCGCGAGTGGGAGGGTGCATTGCCACACGGACTTCGGAAAAGCTGTTGTTCTCTAACCTTCACCAACGAAGGCTGTACAGCTTGCATGAATGTAGACTTGAAAGCGGGCAAATCCCACGGAACAAATCGATATCACTCTATCTACCTCACTTCAATAACTCAGCACTTGGTTGAGATGAGTCTAATCACGAATTGGAATCCATTCACTATTCCAAATTGGATGTTTTTTACTCTTTGTTTGGAGATAATTGTGCGGAGATTTTATATCTGGATCAGTTCTTTCATGCGCCTAAATGGTGCGCATGTGGAACCTACTCTAATCACTCTCTTTTGCGCGGGCATGCTTTATGCATATTGTTGCGAAAATAAGCGGTCAAGCAATAATATACATAGAACAAAGAAATAAATTGGACATTCGTGATTCAGTCGATGTGACTTACGTCTATGAGGAGAACAACGAAGAATTCTACTATAGATTAAGTAATACAACGAAGATTACAACCACACTCGAGTCACTTAAACACTTCAATATTTCATTACGTTATTGGGTGTAATCAGAGTTGTAAAATATTGAGAGTATTTCAGTGACTTAGGTATGGTTATAATCTCCGTTGTATCACTTGATATATAGTAGAATTCTATGCTACTCTTCCGTGGACATAGATCATGTCAATCGAATTACGTATATCTGGTATCCGATTTATTTTCATTTCCTATCTATATTATTGTTCGATTACTTGTTTCTGTAACACATATATTTAAATGGTCTTCATTATTGAGCGCAAAGTGCATTAAGGAGTCTTCCTTGTTTGCTCTCTGCAGATCAAACTTTTCTTGGTGGGTCTCAAAGTGCTATAATATTTGAATATTAACGCGTTCATTAGATGATTTAAACTTTTATACGGTCAACAATATAATATATCTCTAGTTTGAGCAGGTATCCTAGTATGAGTAGGTTTTCTAAAAAAAAGCTGGTTTTTTTAGATAGTAATTATGTATATATCTTCTACTCTGATATAAGATACAACAAAGGAAACAAAAAGAGTATAAGATTTTCTCGCTGAGTTTTATGAGAGAGATTATGAGATAATACATGTGGTTTGCTTTGGATGGGAAACATTCGAATTTGTGAGCAATTGTAACACTGATTTCTTAGATTCATAGTGGTTCTCCCTGTGGAGTAGGTATGGACATTCGGATTGAACCATTTAGATCTCTTGTGTCCTTTATTATTCCCCGTAGAGTGGGTACCAACACTCAGATTGAACCATTTAAATCTCTTGTCCTTTATTGTTCCTCGTTTTTGTGTTGATTTAATTGCAAGATCTGTTAGCGTTTCCGGGACATATTACAAGGGTTCCTACAAAATTTTACACAAAGAACCCTGATATCTACAAGGATAGATTCACACTGCAGGTTCCGGTGCCTTTTAGTGATGCATTTTTCACGCAAGAAGGCTCCGTGGAGGACGGCGACTGTGATCGAGTAGAGGCAGAGTACGACACTGATGATCAGTACTTGAGACTCACAAGAGGAGAAAGAAGAGATCGGGCGCCCATGGCGTAATGCCACTATCGTGGAACTCTCTAGAAAAGGAACTTTCTGAGCTACATGAGATTCAAACTATGTGACATTTGAAAACAGGAAGGGGGCATAGAACGCATAGATCTTGGGTAAGATTCATTTTATGTTAGCTTTACCACAGTGGAGGACCTCAACAAGGTCTTAAAGGACTGCCCTGATTCAGTAATGGATGATTCTTGTCTATCTGGTACCGAAATTTCAACCGTCTTAAGCTGATGTCTGTGGTTGCGGTTGGGATTCGTACTTTTGAAGTTGAGTCTTGAGCATTATAGAACAAAAGTGTTGAAGAAGGTTGCCAATCTTATTGGTCCTCCCCCTTCACATCGATGTCGAGACTGTTGGGGGCGAGAGGAGTAGATTTGCTTGGTTTTGTGTCCAAATTACCTTGACAAGCCCCTTTAGAAGACGATTCTGAGGGGATGGAAGAAGACTAGTAGTTTTCTTTATGAAGGTTTTGAAAAATTTGCGCTGCAACTACGGAGTCATTGGCCGCAGGAAAGACAGCTGCCTTGATGTACTTCCTTCATCAGCGTTGATGGAGTCTCAAAGCTGCACTAAGCTCTAGTAATGGTTACAAGTAGAGCATAATAGTTACCCTTGGATGCTTCTTGCGGATTCTAGTGAAATGCTGACCGGTAGAGAAAATCTTGGTGGTAGGTCTGTGTATTCTTACAGTGCTAGTCTCTATCAAGACTGTATGAACTACTGCAACCTCATTGACATCAGTTTTACTAATCCTAGATTCATTTGGATCAGTTCTCAGAATGATGACACTATTATTCAAATGAGGTGGCACAAAACCAGGGCCAGTCGCGACAGTAGGCTGGTTTACCCAGAAGATGTTCGGCCAACTTTACGCATCAGTAACTTATCACCGCCCCATTCTCTTGAATGTTAACTCTCCCAAACGAGACATTTGATAATAAGCAGTTTAGATTCGAACCTGCTGAGGAGTTTCCTCCTCTTTTCTGCGACATTTGGGAGTTTACGAATCACTGCAACTCGGGGTCGGAACAGAAATGAAGAAAGTTCTTGTAGATTAACTGGCGTTCGAAAAGCCCTTGCTCCGAGACCTAGCCAATTTCTCAAGGATCTTGATCATGAGTATCAAAAGACCCTGAAGAAAGAAGAAGTTCTTTACCATGAAGTATAGGATTGCACATGATGAGAGAACTACCGGATTTTATCATACGCTTACCAATTTCAGAAGGAGCAAGACTGATGATATTTTGACTAGTAAGGACAGCCTTGACAATAGGATTCTATTGTAAATTGAAAAAAAATATTGAGAAGCATGTGGTCACTTTCTTTTCTAACTTGTTCACTAGCTTGTTTCCTAACCTAAGTAAGTTCTTAAACTGTTTTATTAAGGTCTCGTCTAGACCTTGGGATTCTCAGGATGTAAAACTCATAAAAGGAATTCCTTCTTTTCTGGGAAGACAAAGATTATGGGGGAATTAGGGGTAGGGGTGTGCACCAGCAAGTTAATAAGGAACGCATTAGTGGAGCCCGTCCGGTAGGATCGGGACAAGCTGTGGAGGCTTTGGAATCTCCTAATACTGATGAACTCATCAAGTAAGCACTTTGGATCTTCATATTGATGGCACTTCAATTGCATAGACGTTCCCGCAAGATCCAATGACAGAAATTACAAGCCAAAGGCATCTTAGCAACTCCAGCAAAACAGAACTTCTGTTCAACATATACCACTAGAAAGAGAAGATATATACAGAGCTCATCGATCAGCGTGATGATCGACGTACTATCAACATGTCTTAATCCGTATCACATGCGTAGAAAGAAACACGTCGCAGTATATGTCATAACATGTCATGTAACTTTTGTGTCGTCGTCGTAAGTATGTAACACGGCCATCGCCTTCGATCAGCTCAATCCATCAAACCCCTACGCCTACAGATTTAAGACTCTCGACACGAGGAGCCCTTCGAACTCCATTGGAAACATCCTTATTAGGAACTGGCGGTGAGTCGGGCCTGATGGCGGAATCGCCTGTATCGAATTCCCGAAGGTGTACGATCTTCCGGAACAGGGACTTGTTCACAAACCTCTCAGCCTTCTCCGCCACCACCTCTGGCTCCACCACCTCCGGCAGTGTCTCCCTCCTCGACTTCCTCACCCACACCGTCGGCGAGTCCTTCAGTTCCCGCATCGCCGTGTAGAGCCCCAGTGAGGTGGAGAGGGTGATCATCCCCACCGCCATGCAAACCGGCACGAAGTCGCCCTTCCTCATCCGCTTCTTCACTTGGTCAAGCTCGCTCATGTCGATTGGCAGCGCGTGTGCTCGCATTTTCGGTGTTGTCGAAGTGGTAAAGCTGGCAGTCTGATTCAAGCGGCTGGAGAGCGATCGCAACAAATTCTGGGCAAAAAGCCAAAAAACAAACAAACAAAAGAACAGTGAGCAGAATCAATCCAGTACAAAGCCTAGCCTGGATCGAAATTAGCCACGATGAGAGCGTTTCCTGAACACAAAGCCTACCTTGGATCGAAAAGCCATGATGACACCGAGACCAGTTTCGCAGTCGCAGGGAGATCGAGAACCAAGATCATCGTTTTATCTAAGCGAAGAGACGAATCTGGAGCCAGTAAAGCTACAGAATCCAGAAGACGCTCGAATGAAGTGATGCTAATCAAATCATGAATTTTCTTTAACTTATCTTTCTTTGTTGAAACATAAAGTATGTCCCCGTGAGCTCCCGACATTTTTAGTGGAAAATCCCGCAGTGAAAATGACTGCTTTCTAGGATGATCTGGAGATGACTGCACTGAGCCAGAAGGTGCCATTCCCGGTGGTGGGGCTCCAAGTGTTGTGACGTTTGCTCCACATCTTCTTCCTCGTACATGATCACAATCACAATTTGCTCAATAAACCCAATCACAATCGCATAGAGAAATTAGTCAAACAACCTACTACCTGTACTAAAACATGTTAGGACCGTTTGATCCAATGAGATTTATGTGAAATTTTTATGTTAGACCCGCTATTTTTGAATAGTTAACATGAATAATGAGATTTATGAGAAGCCAAATGATAATAAAGAATGATATTACTGCATCTTCTCTCTGGTATTACTGGATCGTAGGTCCATGGATGAACTTATTTGTCTTGAAATTGATCGCGCACCGGATGAATACGTTTACACTATCAGATTGCCTAATACGTTTCCCGAACATTAATCGATAAATCTAACGTAAATGGGTGCTGCAGCTTTTACAAAATATTTGGCAAACTCTTTGCAACTACAACATCCTCGAAGTTATAGCAGCTTATAGTAATTTTCAGAAAGTTGCCTCAACCATACACGAAGAGAATTCTAAACATGCAGCGGCCCACAGACGAGAGATTGACTTTGGAGTGACGTCTCCAGGATATAAACAAGAGTATAACCGATCTAATCATATTAGGAATAAAAGAGCTTCCATGGAAGAAGGAAGTTGGAAGCGACTGAGAGAGAGGTGAGCTACCTCTCAAAGCATCTAGTTTGTTCAACTAGACTGAGTACAGATCGATATACCCTAATCGAAGGGAAATCCATCGACGTTTGACATCAAGTGGCTGCCTCACAGGCGAGGGGCACGAACGACATAACCTCATGCGGGGGGAAGGAGGCCTGTCGAAGATGTTTCTTACGTATTATATTTTTCATGCTATTCAAAGGATGGGGGAGTTCGCCCGATTCGACAGACATCTAGCACAGAATAGTATTACATATCCGATCGCAAACATGAATTTGCTTGTGAACCTTGGGTTGATTTTTCCGAACAATAAGCCCTGAACGTTATAGCGAGATATCACAGGTGAAATAAGTTCTGGGAAAGGCATCACTAGAAACCCTGCTTCTGTTCTTGCTCCTTGAGGTGAAGTTCTCTTTTGCATGAGGCTGGAAGCTCTCTCAATCCAAAAGGGACATTTCTTTTATGGCTTTAGTCATTGACGTCCCTGCACTAAGAAAGGAGTGCAGGTTCTATAGAATGGAAGTGGTTGGTCACGGAAAAAATTTCAAAGTAAAGGAGAGAACTCTAAATTTCGAAATTATTGCGTAGCGATGCTAAATTTCGACGGTTTTGAGAAATTGACATCATTTGTTTCTTTTTTTGATATATATTGATAAAAAATCAAATGTACGAACAATGTTAATTGTTAACATTACTTGTAACATTGGTTTTTTTTTGTTGTAATTTTGCTATAAAATCAGGGAAAAATTGTTCAGAAAGTTTTAAACTTATTGCACATTTGCTAATTAAGTCCTAAAGTTTTCAATTTTGTCAATTGAGTTCTAAACCTTTTTACTTTTTGCCAATTAAGTCCATCTGACCAATTTTGGCCGACGTGGACACTGACCGTCCTATGTGACATCCCTGGAGCTGACAGTGTACAATTACTAATAACATTTTAATATTTTTTTTGAATTTTTCTTTTTTTCCTTTTCTTTCTCTTTTTTTTTTCTACCCTTCTTCCCTCTGGCCGGCGAGGATGAGCCCCTCGACAGAGGTCGGCGGCCCGGCGCCGGCCCTTGCCTCTTGAGAAGAAGGGTAGAAAAAAAAAAGGAAAAAGAAAGAGAAGAAAAAAGGAAAAAAAAAACTTCGAAAAAATATTAAAAATTAAATAAATTGTCACGTCAGCAGGTTTAGGACTGAATAAATAAAATCGAAAGGCTCATAATTGAATTGACAAGAACGCGATAGGTTTTTGACTTTTTGGATAAAAGAAAGAAAATGGTGGGAGATACCGGAACGTCGTCGTTCCCTCCAAAATTGGCGTTTGTCTCGGTCAAAAAGAAACAGAAAATGTTGGGAGATGCGGGAACGGCGTCGTTCCCTCCAAACTGGTGTTGGTCGCTGACAAGAAGTCGAAGAACTTAATTCTTCCCCCAGCACACCACCTGAGCAACCTCCAGATCACGCTACCCCCCCGGAGAACCGCCGCGATCCGTCCCGGAAATGGAGATCGATCCCCTCCCCAACGGTACGCCGGCCGCCGCCGCCGCCGCCGTCGCCGCCGCCGCCGCGGCCAACGCGCCGTCGTCGAGGCTGTCGCAGCTGACGGAGTCGCTGAAGCTGGAGCACCAGTTCATGCGGGTCCCCTTCGAGCACTACAAGAAGTCGATCCGCGCCAACCACCGCGCCGTCGAGAAGGAGGTCTCCGCCGTCATCTCCGCCGTCTCCGACGCCGCCGAGGCCTCCGGGGAGGGCGACGCCGTCGATCGGCTCAGCTCGCTGGTCTCCAGGCTGCAAGGGCTCAAGAGGAAGGTGCTGTGATTTGCTTGACGCATCGGTGAAATGTAATTTCTCGAGGTTGAATTGTTGCTAGTTGGTTCTTGTGGTGCTTAGGTTGGTCAAGGGGGTTGGTTTGTGGGCTGGCTAGTTGGAGCTTTTGACCTGGTAGTGATTATCGAATCCTGCGGAATTGCAGGGAATTAGGTGAAGATTGAAAGGAAGGACCTTGAAGTGAGGTTTGGGCTGTTTACCTGATGAGAATTGTGGTCATAAGTATGGGGAGGGGATTTGATAATTTTCTTCTTAGTATTTTTTCATTTTTGAAAAAGGATATAGTTGATCAGCTTTTCTCTCTGGTTTTTTTTTTCATGGATGAGTAAGGAATTCAGTTGATCATATAGCCAATTCAATTCTTGAGGATGTTTTTTTTTCATGGATGATGAGGAAAAAAAGTTCAGTCTGATCATATAGCCATTCAATGCTTGAGGAAGTTAAGTAGTTGAGGGGAGGTTTATCTAAGCTGGTTGTGTTCCGGGAGTTGAATTAAGTTATATGGAATTTCACTCGGTAATGTTCCGCAATTAGTTGACTGAGAGTGCTTGCATGTCCAACCAAGTTGCTTATTGGAGCCTAAAAAAAACTCAGGATTTCCGAGCGGTCAATGACTAAAAGGATATAATGTGAAATTTGGACTGTGATATCATTGGTCGAGGTGCTATCAGAACTACTTGTATTGTGATGAGGAACTTTTCTTGGTCAAGGCCGCACATAATGTGTATATTCTCCCTTAGCTGTATGTCTGCTCAGTTTTGTGTTTTTATGTAGCTGTGATGACATGTGACTTTGTACTTTTTTAACTTGAGTAGTTGGAAGAGGGAAGTCGGACAGAGCACTTGCAAGCTCAGAGATGCCGAGCTCGATTAGATCACTTAGAATCAGCTGACCCGGAGAATTTATCTGAGTGGAGCAACACCCGGTTAAAGAGAATTCTTGTAGATTACATGTTGCGGATGTCTTACTACGATACTGCTGCAAAGCTTGCAGAGAGTACTAATATACAGGTACTTGGCTTTATTCTCCTTTATAATCTGGAAAAATGATTATGATCTGTGTGATCTTTATGGGATAGGATCTTGTCGATATTGATGTCTTCCTAGAAGCCAAAAAAGTTATTGACGCTCTCCAAAATAAGGAGGTTGGTCCTGCCCTTGCTTGGTGCAGTGAAAACAAGTCAAGATTAAAGAAATCCAAGGTATGTAGTCTCCACTTAATTGGTCCTTTCTAAATGTTTAGTTAGAACTCTTTCGATGTACCTTTTCTCTTAATGTACTTGCTCTCTTGTGATGGCGATTTAATTTGAATCCAGATAAATATGAATTAGCACTATGTTGAATAACGGCTTGACACAGCTCATCTGTCTTTTCTATATTTAAATTCGACAATTTTTTTTAATCCACTCTGTAGATTGGATTGCACTGACTTAGTAATCCTAGGGGATAAGCACTTACATCTTACTGCTGCTTTGATATCGAATGAAGAATGTTGTACATATTGAAATGACTCGACTAGTTAGACTATTTATATGAATTAACGGATCATAAACTGGAGGCCTTTTTTCTATTGACAGTTGCAACATCACTATGTTGACGGCTTAGTTATTGAATTGAACATAACTTTTGCTGCACTATTCTTTCTGGGGCTTTGTAAGTTTGTGATGACCACTTGAAGATAGTTTAGTATGGCTTGGCTTCATGGATATGATTGATCCGAACATCTAATCTTGGCTACAGTTTGCTGGAACTTTGTTTGTTGTATATGCTGACTTTGGTCCACAAGTCCTCTTCAAGGGTTGTCGAATAGTGTTATGCCAAGAGAATGGTAAAACCCAACAGAAACCATTTTCTTTTAATTTCTCATTTTATTCTTTTGTTCCTTGTCAAAGTTTATGAAATGGAATTAATGAAATCTAACAGATATGTTTAGGTCTTTTCTTTGACATACTAAAGTGGCTCTTGCTAAGTTTTGGGTGAATGATCATTTAACTAGGTAGTATATGGCTTTCCCAACTTTTTATGCCGCTTTAGGTTATATGATAAGATCTTTAGGCTCTTATTCTAAATTTAAGATTTTGAAGACAATTTGAAACTGGGGATTTTTGCTCCGGTACAACTGTAGATCTACTCTGTTACCTGATGAAAATATCCATTCTGTGGCTTCATACTTCATTCAATTGAGATATCCATTGAGGTGGATTGAGTTATTAAATTTGTGCCATTACCTGCATGAATGCAATTGTTTCAGTTATAGTGAGGTTGCCTTTATTAAGAAGCCACTGTGCAAGTTTGTCGATACATAGTATAAAAAGAAAATGGTGTGCTTTGGCATTAGTGTTGAAAGGAAGGAGATTGACTCGCAGTCAATGAGCATACATTCCAGGAATCTTTCGGTTAGATATCTTTGGTGAACATTATGTTAGGGCGACTTTCATACTTTGCCACCCTTAAATTGTCTCGTATCACTCAATTTTTTGGTATTGTTTCAGTGTTTTGACTCTGTCAAAGTGCACTAAACCCACAAACAGAAATCTAATGTGCAAATTCACATAAAAAAGATATATGCGGGCATCTCTGTGGACATTCACGCAGAGAAAATTTACCTCACATCCATATAATTAGCTAGTTACCATATCATTGAAAGCATTGCACATACAATGTTGGGATCAGATTTTTGTCTGTGATTTTGATGTCAGGTCGAGAGAGTGGTGACCTTGAAATAATCTCAAAGTTTTTTTTTTTTTTTGGTAAGTGAAATAATCTCAAAGTTGACGGGTTACTATACCAATAATTGTGGTAGAAATGAAATTCATCCCAGTGTCTATCGCAAAAGAAGAAAAAAATTCACCTTTCTTCAACTAGTCACCTTTATTCATGTCATTTTCTTTCGTCCACGAAAATCATGTACTATTCTCTTAGTGAAGAAATGATATCTGCATCTTTCAAGTATAGAATAAATTAATTGGTCTCTTTATCTATTTTCTAGTAATTAGTCTGATCTGAACAGTGTTTGGAATTACGTTGCAATAATGCTTGAATTATATTGTGGAATTTTAAGACATGCAATCTGTCTAAAGAATGTTTCTTTTGACAGAGCATTTTCGAGTTCCAATTAAGACTTCAGGAGTTTGTTGAATTGGTGAGAGCTGAGAACAGCATGCGAGCTATTGCCTACGCCAGAAAGTACCTTGCACCATGGGGATCTACACATATGAAAGAGCTGCAGCGAGTCATGGCCACATTAGCATTCAGGAGCAACACTGAATGTGCAACCTACAAGGTGATCGGCATTTCTCTTGCTCTGATATGATGGATCCTATTCATTAAAATGAAGGCCGTTCATTAGTGCTTGCTCAAGCTAGACTACTACCATGAAGCAATGAGCTTAACTTCATGATGGTTGTCTGTAATAATTGAAAACAATTGCTTACAGTCTCTTAGAATATCATGTGAGAGGAAAATAAATTTATAGACTGTTTTATGTGGATCATGGATTTTTTATGTTGCAATTGAAGTTTAGTTGGGAGTGCTGCTGAGAATTGAGTTCATTCCATAAAGCCAGATTTAAAGTGCTTGTGTATTTGGTATCTCACAATTCACTGTGGGTGGGTGAGGTGCTCATTGGAAGTTTTCTGTTAAATACTCTTCCATTTAATCTGACGACTTTGGCTCTTTTAGGTGAAATTTGTTCATTAAAAGTTATTTAGTTCATTCGTACCTTGGCTACTGTGTTAGCAGGTACTTATCAGTCATATGTCCAGTTAGGACCCTTCAAGATTCTCACTGAACTTTGACCAAATCTAAAGGGCTTTCACCGACAATGTGTTATTGCCAATAACTTATGTACTTTTAATGTCTTAACATCTGTCTGCGCATTTTCATATTATGTTTTGACTTGGAAGGATGCGGCTATTTTTTTTTTTTTAACAGGTTTTATTTGAACCAAAGCAATGGGATTTCCTTGTGGATCAATTCAGACAGGAATTCTGCAGATTATATGGAATGACTTTTGAGCCTTTGCTAAACATATATTTGCAGGCTGGATTGTCTGCTCTGAAAACTACGTATCCTTTTTTTGGTGTGATTACTTCTCTGCATTCATTTCAATTCATTCTTGTTTCTAACATGTGAGTGCCACTTTATGCATCTACTATTTCGTTTTGCAATTTACCTATAGGATTTTCCTACAATTGTCATCAATCTATCAAGTGGATAGTGATTGAGTCAATTTTACTAGGAGGGATTGCGAAGATTTGCATGCTTGTCCACATACTATTTCGTTTTGCAATTTACCTATAGGATTTTCCTACTATTGTCATCAATCTATCAAGTAGTTGTGAAACCAAAGAGTACCACGAGTAGGCATAATAGTACTTATTTTCTGGGGCAACTATTTTTATGGGACTCTATGTATTAACTTTTAAAGAACAAGAGTGTGGATAGGTTTGACACTTTTGCACTTGAGTTGTAAAATTTGTTATTATGGAGTGGGTAAGAATTAGAGATGTAATACTTAGAGACCCACCCAAACTTAGGCCCGGATTTGGGTCCACGTTGATTCAGACTTGGCTTGGTACACATAAGATCCATGGAACCTCGTAGCACACAGGCCACATAATTTGTTCGTCTCTGGTGCAACCATGTCCAGTGAGGCCTTGGTTTGCAATGAACGGTGGGAGATAAGTATCATGGGGCCATGGCTTTTGAACTGACATTGGCCTTAAGTTTGCAGAGGACCCCAATAACAATATCTGGAATGGAAAATTGTTTAAGAAGTGGTACCTTGAGCAACAGATTAATCCTAAAAGTTAACTATTTGTTTTGAGGATTACCCATGTTAATTCAGCCTGGATTGTTACCTTAGTTAGCTTTTTCGTTTCTTTTTGCTTTCAAATGTTTTATGCCTTGACCTAATTTAGATTCTGCACCGAAGATGGTTGCACAAAGGAAGATCCGTTATCCCAGGAAAGTTTCCGAAAACTTGCAATGCCGTTACCTTTCTCCAAGCAGCATCACTCGAAGCTTGTTTGTTATATAACTAAAGAACTTATGGACACAGAGAACCCACCTCTAGTCCTACCAAATGGTCATGTCTATAGCACCAAGGTATGTCTGAATGTGCATTTGTTTACTAATAAGTTTCTTGAGTTTTTGTTTAATTGATCCTACATTTTATTTTCTCCTGAGACAGGCTCTTGAAGAAATGGCAAAGAAGAACAGTGGTAAAATCACCTGCCCTAGGACAAAGTATTGCTGCGATTATTCTGATCTGGTGAAGGCATACATATCTTAATGTACATTTGCAACAGAGCTTACGAATCCATTGAAATAACTATACTGAAGGACTGGACTCTGAAGCTCTGTAATTTGCCCTTCCTTGGAGAAACTCCTGAAAAGTCGTATCTATATTTCTGGGTAATCTCCTATGTACATAACGCAGAAAGCACCCTTATCAGTATCAACACTTCTATTGATCCATAAGTACAATAACCAGAGTTGTTCTTTCTCTTTTGTCATTTGATGTTTAATTGATAGCAATTGCAATTGCATGCGTTCACATACTCAGATCAGACTAGTCGCAAAGTAACAGTCGCTGCCGCAGTTCGATTTTAATATTTTCTTATTTCCTTCTTATTTAACTTCTGGTGTTTCGACTCACAAGGTTTGCTAGTAGGTTGTAAGGTAAAAGAAATCTTCATCGTATGCATGGATTCAAGATTTTGTCTATACATAAGGGACGCTATGCACCAAGTAGGGAGACAAATTCGAATTTGAAAGTAATCATTACTCTTCGCAGGATGCTTACACTTATACTAATATTGCAAGTTGCAATCACTGTACAACATTGTGAAGATGGACGTTATATTTAACAAATAGTCGACGTTTTGGAGAGGGTGCAAACTCGAGTCTTGCCTTCGTGTGTTGGTACGGAAGGGGGAAAAAAGTAGAAGCTCCCTCTGTCCCTTGAAGATGAGTTGACTTTGAAAGAGGATGTCACGCATTAAATGTAGATCACGAATTTAAATGTCTTTAATCCATGGTGTATTAACTATAGGGAAATACAAGATCTTTCTATCTTTGCATATCTGATAAACTTAATTTCTACTCATCATTTAATTGAGAGTGAGAAACGAAAACTATTAGCAGCGTTGGAAATTTTATATATTCCATTGGAACTACATACAAAGTACCAAACAATGACAATATCCAATCTAACTTTAGCGGCTGTCCTCATTTGTTTTCTCATTTTTGTTCAGCCCTTAGGAATCTCTTGCTTCGACATCAAGCTCATACCAATTAATTGATTTGACACAACACTCTTTTCGTCCAACCTAAGCCTAGAAGAAAAATACTATAGAATCTCCGAGATATCTCGAATTCGTGTTCACTAACTTGAATTCATAGCTTCTTTGAGTTCCATGGGCCAGAAAGTGTTGATGGAGCATGGCCCCAATACGCTACAACCTCTAACTACTTTCCATGTTATTGGTTATTACACAACCACCATGTCAGTCGGCACACCTCCACATATTGTCTACTTAGTCATGGATACGGCTAGTGATCTTACATGGACGCAATGTGAAGGATGCAATAATTGCTTCGCCATTAGGGAGGGTAACTTCAATAGAACTCAATCGCGATCATATCGGCCCATAGCTCATGACGATCCCCTTTGTTTGCCTAGGATATATGAAAATGACTGTTGAATGTATGAAATTAGGTACCTCGGATCTGGAAGTTCTGATTCCTATAGCAAGAGACAAGTTGGATTAGACACGTTTGTCTTCCAGGACGGTACTAGATCTAAAAAAGGATTCCCCAACACTGTTTTTGGTTGTGGCCTAGACAACTATAATATGGTATGGGGCACTAAGGGACGTAATAATTCCATATCCGGAATATTCAGCTTGGGATTAGGGATGTCCATCTTTTCACAATATGGCAATGAGACTAAAGGACGTTTGTCATATTGCTTACCTTCAATCTACTCTCGGAAAGGGACCTACACACTACTCCAATTTGGAGACAACGCATCAATTGGTGGACGTCTAGGGGCAAAGGTCCAAATGACAACACTAGTTCCTGATGTGACCAGTCATGCAGTAACGGTCACGGGTATTAGTATCAATGGGAAGCGCCTTAGCGTAGATCCTGGAGTTTTTCGGATGAGACCGAACCACACCGGTCACCGGTGGGTTTGTTTTCGACACAGGATGTCCTCTCATTGTTCTTGATCGCCGTGCATATACTGTTGTAAAAGATGAACTGACCCAAAATTTCCTCAAGAAGTATGATTGGCATCCTTGGCCTCCTCAACCGAGTAAATATGGGTTGTGCTATGACTTGCCTCATGGTAATTATACATATCCAAATATGACATTCCATTTCGAAGGAGCAGATCTTTTTCTCGATGAAAAACATCTTTTTCAATTCTTCAAAGGGGGATTTTGCTTGCAGATGATGCCTCTAAACGATGGTGGAACCAGCTTATTTGGAGCATTTCAACAAGTAAATTATCGGTTCGTGTTTAATTTTAGATCAAACACATTGTCTTTTGTACAAGAAGTGTGCCAATTCTATTGAGAATTGAACACTAAGGAGAAGGAAATAGCATGTTAAGGTCCTTCATGTACTTCTCTTTTGTGTTTCCTAATGACTTATTTAATAAAAGAAAATTTCCATAGTATCTTTCAGCCGTATCATTCTTTCCAAATCCTTCAGGCAATGGTGGGGCGGCGGCGGCGGCAGCGAGGCCTCTCGCTTGGTTTTGTTTTCCTTTTTCGTGTTTTTTTTTTTTTTTTAATTTAGCCTAATTTTTTTAAATTTAATTTAACTAAAATAAACGACATCATTTTAGATTTGCGACCACGACATGGTGTTCGCGAGCGGCACCACCAGAGAATAAATTGGGGAGGTTTTCTGTTTTTCGCCACTAGTGTGGGTAATTGTTTAGTGAGACAAACATCTTATTTGAGTGTTATACCAGATCTTGGAATAGATGGGTTTCGAGTTGGAAAAATTACCAAAAAAGTTATAAACCTATTGTATTTGTGCTAATTGAGTCATAAACCTTTCAATTGTGCCAATTGAGTCATAAAATTTTTGACAATTTGTTAATTTAGTCCTTCCAGCCAATTTTGGTCGGAAATTGCTGATGCGGACGCTGGTCATCTTACGCGGCATAGCCGACGCTGATGTGATTTTTTTTTTTAAATTTTCATTTTTTTAATGATTTTTTTAAATATTTTATTCTTTTCTTTCTTCCTCTGCCAATCACCAGCAGGCTTGCCCGAGGCCGGCGACGTCGAGCCTCGCCCAATCCTGGCAAGCTCGAGCCTCGCTAGGTTCGGGTGAGGCTCCACCTTGCCAGATCCAGCAAGGTCGAGCCTCGCCCGAGACCAAATAGGCTCGAGCTTGCGAGGATCGCTCGAGCCAACCGGACTGGGATCAACGTAGGAGGAGTCCATTCGTGCACGGGCTTGGGGTTCATAAGTCGGTTTGTCGGGACCTAGTCTCACTAGAAAAAGCGGCAAGCGTTACCAAGTCACCACATCGAATGTCATTAATAGGGGTGAGCATGGTCTGGGTTGGGCCGGTCCTGCACCTAACCCTGGGACCAACCCACATAGTGTTGATCCTCAATTTTTGGGACTGAGGACCAACCCTGTTGAGCTTGGGACCGAGGACCGGACCGACCCTATGGGTCCGATCTGATTCCGGGGTCAACCTGGGACCAGCTATTTCTTTTTTTGTTTTATTTTTTGTATTCCTTGAAAGTACATACTCTTTCAAATTTCATAGTTATCAACAATGCGATATCGAGCAACCAAACTATGAACACCGATACGTATCAAACATAAATCTAAGATAAGATAACAACATAAATCTCCATTTACTAAAAGAAACAAACCATGCATGAAAAAAAACGAACACTTGAAAGCGAGGTCGAGGCAAGCGAAGAGGCAAGCAGCAAGCAAGGCGAGTGAATAGAGCTGAGAGTGAGGTGAGCGAACAAAAGCGAGCGACGCGAGGTGAGGAATAGGGTTTCACAAGCGAGCGGCGAGCAAACAAAGCGAGGCGACAAGCGAGGAAGAGGAGGGTTTTTATTTTTTTTGGTCAAATCAAGGCTGGGTTAACCGGTTAAGTGGGTTTCTACTTTTTAATTTACAATTCTTTCGACCAATTTTTTTTAATAATATCATATAATATATTATATATAATATATACAGGGTTGGACCAACCCTAAAGTCCTAGAACCGAGAACCAACCCGCATAGTGCAGGGTCCAGGACCAAGGACCGACCCTGTCCCCCTAGGAACCGGACTAGGATCGGTCGGGTTGGGCCGGTCCAGGGTCAGTCCAGGATTGACCCTAGACCGATGCTCACCCCTAGTCATTAATCACTTCGAGTAGCAGTACTGGAGAGCTCGATCGTAGTACTTAAACAATGAAAGCGTTTGTATCGAGCTATATAAACTTGGGATAATATATAGAGGATATCATCTGAGGTGATGACGCTATATCTTCAAGCAACAAGGGTTTGCTCCAAAAAGTGAAAGGTGAAAGCTGGCAAAGCTGTGTAAGTGTTAGCAGTATCGATTAGAAGATCGGTTACCGCATCGCATTAATGATGCAGAGACACCGGAGGATGCTTCAGAAAGCTAATATATATGTATGTGTATCGGTCCGATCCGGGTGGGTAGTTCTATACCTGAAATTGAGAACCGGACCACTATTCACCGGTTCTAATAAATTGGACTCGGGAACCGGACTAGTTCCCATGGGAACCGCAGGTTTTGAGCAGTGGTGATCCCGGCGGTTCCCGGTTTTTTTGCACACCTCTAATCTATCTATATTATCAACTCAAATGTGCCTTTCGCCTAGGTTTTAACATTCCTAAGTTACCCTTCTAATACATAATTAACACTCATGAAATAACCATCCACTATAATATAAGTCACCATGCACGCATTGTATCGGTCGTCAATCTGTTTTACATCTATTGATACTTCAAGTAAATTATTTTTCTTCACTTTTTGTTAACATTATTTTAGTCGCATTTGCTTTTGTCTGGTTAAGTTTTGTACGGTCGAGATCTCAAGTGTATGCCGTGAGAAATTGGTGGTCCGTGCTGAATTAGCTTCTGGGCCGTGCTGGTGTGCAGGTGAAATATGAAGAATGTAGTCTTGGGAAGCCATATATGAAGAAAATGAACTGAGATTAGAAAATATGCTAAAATCCCTAATTTTGCTCTAAGGTTTTGGTAGATGTGTCAAAGCTGACCTAGATTTTTGTGACATGAAGATTAGTTGAGGATAAATGTGGCATATTTGAGATTTTTTGAGACATGAAAAATTGTTTGGGATAAATGTGCATAGTTGTACTGATTGGAGTTTTTTTTTTTTTAATATTAACCCCAAAAGAATAGAAGCCCCCTTGCATTAGCTTACTAAAAGAATCACTAATACTTCTACATCTTTTATCTCTTTGCATAAGGGACGCTACGCACAAAGTG